GTCTCCAATATCTATTACAAATATAAAGTCAGTACAAATATTTAATTGAAATATGAAAAACCTAAATATCACGGGGTGTCCTAGGGGTGACTGTCCCACTGGTATCCGCTGGGGTCATCCCTAAATGCTGGTAGAGTTGCTGCATCTGTGTCGCAAGGGTCGATTGTTGCTGCCGTAGGCTATCATTATCTGCCAAAACATTAAACACTTGTTGTCGAAGGTTTTGATTATCTGCCTTTAATGATTCAACAGTCTGCTCTAATTCGATAACCTTATTAGACTGTCCGATAATGGGTGGCCTGAATGGTTCTCGTCTAGATGTGCTCACACCTATATCCTGTGGATGTGTGTGTATATCCAAACCTTTCAACCATCCTTTCTTGACCCCACCAGTTGCCTTAAGTAATATCTCAGCATGAGGTATTGTAGGGTCAAATCCTTCTTCCTCTTGTCTAGTAGCATATTCAGCGGTCAATTTTTCCTGAAATAATATAAAACAAAATAAATAATTAATTGTATTGAAAATTAAAGTAAAATTAAAAATATCATTTTAGGCACCTAAATTCAATTTACTCTCCCTTAAAAGGATGGAGTTTTAACTTTTTACCAATAACTATATTGTATAATAGTTTAAATATTATAATTAAAATAATTTCAATTATTTCATGACACAATTTAAAATAAAATTGTTAAGTTAAATACTTACTCCAATTTCTTGAGCCTCATCATTACAATATACAGGCAGTTGGTCTTTTCCTTTTCCTTTGTGTTGCCTTCTATTAGTGTAGACCTCAGGATATGTTGGTGGACGACCCTCGGGGTTTGCCTGTTGCTGTAAAGAAAAAAAAAAGAAGAGAAAATATTAAAATCAATATAAAATAAATCATAAATCATAAATCATAAATTATTTATTAAAAATATGTTAACTTTTATACCATTTTCTTTCTATAAACATTAACGTCCATTGAACTGCTAGTATGCGTCACCCTCGGTCCTTTTGCTCGATTAGCCTTTGCAGAACTTGACCTTCTCAAATGACCCTCGTCCTGTAAAAGTGGTGAACACATATATTTTCTTAATAAATAATATGATAAAAACATTAAACATTACAATTGAAAAAAAAATAATAAACACATGAATTTACTCCCTTACCTCAGTCCATAAATGAACAAGCTTCGCCCATAACTCTGGATTCATATCTGGAGGCTTAACTTGAAAGTTTCTCTTTGCACACTTAGCTTTCAACTCACTAAGTGCATGCTTGAACTTGATCCTTGCTGTCATGTTCCATAAATCTTTTACAGTATTCTCAATCGCAAGATCCCATTCATACGTTTGCTGAAAATAATAGAAATATGAATAAATACACAATTTAATAAAAAATATTAATGATAATAATAAAAAAATTTCAAATTACTTAAACTTTGAAGATAGAAATTGAAAATATCTAATTTGTAGATAGAAATTAAGTGTTTAGGGCGTACACTGAATATATTCCAATACATGTCCCGATGCTCTCGAAGGACCTGTCCCCACGCTATGTAAGCATCTAGGAGATTCTCCCGCAACTGGACCACAATCTGTCATCTGACCTGTTGTGGCAAACCACCATACTCATCTAGCTCTAATGGGATCTTCGTCCCATCTGTAGGCATCTGTAAGGGCTTAGCTTGCCCCCGTCCCTGTCTCTGCTGGGGAGTATCCACAGGTGTATCCTCATCACTGGGAGACTCGGCCTGTATATCAGCATCTGAAGCTGGAGTCTCCAGAACCACATCAGTTGGAACCTCCTCCTGAACTCGTCTTTGGGGGTCAAATGGGTTTCGCCGTTGTGGTTGGGTGGAATCAACAGCCTCCATGCAATGAGAACTACAACAATCCACTGTAAAAAAAATATAACAAATGCAAAATAAATCATTAATACAATGTAATTTAAATGTAATAAATAAATTACTATTAATATCATAATAAAAATTAAAATTAGTTTTAATTTCTATAGATAAGAAAATAATAGTCAAATTATATTTTAATTGAATAACATACAGTATAACTAATATAAATAAAAAAATTATATAAATATTAACAAAAAAAATAAAATTA